GAAATATTTTGATGGCTGTCAGTGATATGTGTCCAAGTTTCCTGGCAACACTGAGGATGGGGACTCTCAGAGGTATTCATACACCCGAATAATTGCCAGAACTTCTTTTTCTAGTCGTACTTTCTGGCTGGACAGGAAGGACATGATACATGTGATATAGGTCTTGTCATGCTGTTTTCGTGCTGTTGACATGGCACAGCTCTTAGCCCAGGTTTGCTCAGGTTTGAGGTTATCAGACACAGTAAAGTGAAAGATCACCCCAATTTTAGTATCTTCTTCAGTGCCAGACTTCAAGTCTGTTCTATGCTGAGGTCTTGAGAAATCACTTGGGAAGTAGATGATGACTGATTTGGAGGCTTTCAGCTGGGATGTGGTTTAGAAAGCTGTTCAGTTTTCTCATTTGGGTTTTATCTTTCCCAGCTGAGAGCCAGTAGCTGGTGCTATGAGTGCATCTAACTATAGTTTATAAGGCCTTGGGTCTTAAGTGTTGATGTTCTTCCTTCAGTCACCTTTTCTGATGTGGAAATAAAACCTGTGCTCACTATTTGTGTGTGCGTGTGCCCGTGTGTCAAGTATCAAGTGTAGGCTCTCTTGTATTGACATAGTGCCATACATGCATGTGCCATCAGTATTTTTTCACTTTTAGTAATTTTACATCATTTTACAAACTGGAAGTAACTAGCAGCGTGTTCACTGTTAGTCCAGAAAAAGCAGATAAGACATAATCCATGCACCACAGGAGGGCAACATCCTTCATAAGAGCTTGACCCGTTATCTTTGTGATGTAGCTTTCGTATCGCAATAAAAATCATCAGTCTGGAACAGAACAGTTTGACAGGATGACTCAGTAGAGCCACAAAATGACAGCTGCTAGAAATAAAAAATAAACAAATTGTGCCAGGTCATGGATGTCAAAACAGGATCCTTCACCTGTTGTTCCTGCCACTTACTCAGTCAGCTGATAGTTCGGTGGCCATGTTTTCTCTTCACAGGGCAGATTATTGATATGACATGAGAATTTAGTATGATTTTATTTATTTTCTAAGATTACACACTGTATCTCAGGATTTAACTTCTACAGCAGCAGCCACGTGCTTTGCTTGCTGATTCCAAGCGGGTGCTCCCAGCCAGTCCTGTGAACCAGCATGCTCTGCCCCTCTGCCTCGGGTTCACTCGCAGCATCACTTCTCTCCCCAGCTGCTGGGCTTCACTTGGCTCTCAGCTCTATGCTTGCAACCAAGCTCACCCCTTGTTCATATATATGGAGCCAGGCATACCAGATAAACCTTCAGACCCAATAGCTTAGTCTCCCCAGACTTGACTTGGCAATGCAGCCAGCAGAGCTGGGAGTTACCTGCAGTGGTCTCCAGGCAGTTCATTCAGCCTGAACTGTGACTTTTGTTTACTCTGTAGAAAGGATGGCTGTTGCCTATCAGCTTTAATGCTGCCAGTAGCTGTCTGTAGGTCAAAGCTTTGCTTTGAAGGCAGCTGTGTCTTCCAGCAAAGCAGGTAGGGCAAATTGCAGTGTTGTGTCTGATCTGCCTGTAAACAGAGATGATGACACACTACTGAAAATGGTTGGTTTTCCAGTAGTGGCCCGTAAGAGTGGATTGCATATGCTGAATGGTTTTAGCTGGGAGAAGAGTTAGAAGATGCTGAGGAAGATGGTTGACTTTCTTCTTCTGCTTTAGATCAGAGTCCCTATATCTCAAACAATGCCCTGAGCTTCTACCAGAGCATTGCCTGGCACTACCAGGCATTTTGGGGATAGACAGAACAGGAAGAGGAGTCCTTCCGGTTGACATTGACATAATGAAACACTAGTTTGCTCAGGGATTTGAATCCAGGGCTACATCTATATTAATAAATTAAGCAGCATCAGAAAACATTCGTTGGTGCTGGAACTCCATTTTCTGTCCTGCTGAATTGTTTTAGTGGTCCCTGGCTTGCCCTTGGTCTGTGGTAAGCTGAATGCCTCCAAACTGTTTCCCAGTGTGGTTCAGGAGCTGTCATAGGCATGCAGCTGCCTTGTGCTGGAGGGTAATAGTATGGATGCCTGCTCTTCTGTGCTGGTTGGCATCGAAGCCAGGGACAACCCTGGGTATATTTATTTTCCTAATGTGCATGCATCCCACTAGCTCCACTTCTTACCTCCCTGTGAGAAATCTCTCTCATTTGTTGAATAGCTAGTTCTATCCAATACATAGATATAAAACAGTGCAGAAGAAGAGGGCTAAGCATTGTCTACCCAGAAGTCAGGGCAGTTATTCGAATGGAGAACTCCCCAGTTTTCTGATGCAGAGTATTAGTCATCAGACAGTACGTGTTTGCAGAGGCATTTTGATCAAATATTGCAGTGATTCAACTTTTTTATGGTGAACTTTGGTAGCATATGAGTCAGAGATGTTGGAAGGCAAATGACCCTCCAGCCTGGTAACTAGGGCTGCTCCTGGGAGGGGAAACTCCTCAGCACTTGTCTCTGCTTTCGTACGTGTTCAATAATACAGAGGACATGAGAGGAGGTGGAGCACATCAGCCAGCGTTGAGATGATGACAGTAAGATGAGGGAATTGCGACTCTGGAGCTTGTGTTCTGGTAGAGTACTTTTATACCACAGCCTCTGGAAAGGAGATTGTCAACACTACCAGTCCAACCCAGCTTTCCTTACAGCTTCTCAGAAAAAGAATTTGGGGAAAACAAGGTTGGGTTACATGTAGGCCTACATGTCCAAGGTAGAAATGGTGGCGGATGCTTATTTTGGTGAAAAGAAGAGAAAAAAAAGAAACATGGTCTAAATTGGAGGGGGTTTGACTGCTGTACTCCAAGATGTTATTTGTTTCACTCTGCTCAGATCAATAATGCAGCAGCAGCCCACCCATCTCCCTTAGAAAGCTGTCTCATACTTAGCAGTTAATGAGCTAGTACTGGAAAAAATGTAACGGGTCCTGCCTTGTTACGTCCAGAAAAGGCTCACATCTTGGCTTTCAGTAGAATCACCAAGAATTGACTTTGGAGAGCCAAAACACAAAGAAAATAAATGTTCCTGGTAGTTCTGAGTTGGTTTGTATAATTTCTCTAATTCTTAAACCTTCAGAAACATGTACAATGAAATTTTTCTCAAGTGGCAAACTATAGCTGTGAAAAGATGGTGTTTTCCAGTTCACTACTAAAGGAATATTTTTTCTTCTCTTCAGAGAAGCTAAATATTGATTGGCATTTACAACAGGGAGGAAGAAAGCCCTCACTTACTGATTTTTAGAACAATAAAATGAGGATTTACCAGTGCTGTGGAACTGTAGTGCTGTGACTAAGCAATGTAGAGGGAAGTAGCCCGCCTTGCCTCTGTGGAGTTTTCTGTCTATCCTGCCTGAAGTCTTTGGGAAGCTGCTTCCAACATGAAACACTTAGCATCTGTAAAGGGAGAGCAGAATATCTATCAAACATGGAAAGATCAAAAACTGTGACCCCCTGCAGGTTAACTGTTGGGAGGGAAACAGCTGAATAATGTTGAACATATTCAGATCTCTGACTTCACCTAATGCACACTGTGAAGGCTGTGTTTGTAGTTAAACGATGATTCATTTTTATGGATGTGGGAAAGCTTTTGTGCTTCTGCCTTAAAAGACACTGTTCTATTATTTGTTTGAGAGGCAACGCCAGTTGCTTCTGCCTTCTCTTAGGCAAATATAAGCATAAATATTAATCTGGAGTGATACTAATTTTTTGCTGAAAAGCCAAGCCTGGCCATGGGAGATGGCTTGGTGCTTGGTATGCTGAAAAGGCTTGGGAGCTGACAAGGGCATTCAAAAGCCCAGCTTTCTGAAAAAGTTCAAGTTCTGTAAACCTCATTAATGTCGCTTCATGCATATCAAGAGTATTCACTGTACATGCTCATGCTCGAGTCAGGAACCACCATGGTTTTGAGGACAAAATCACTGAAGCAGCTCGCCTCTTACACTTTAAAAGGCTCCTCATTCTAATCTCAGCATTTGAACGTTGGCCCATCTGGTTCTGATAGCGTTTCCTCACTGCCCAGCCTTGTTAGCTTGGCCAGTTCGAGGCAGGAGCACTGCAGTGGCAGCCCCTGCAGCCTCCTTTTCTCGTAGGAAAACAGTAGGAGTAGGTTAGATGCTTCTGAATCCCATGCTGCGGGCAACACAAAGAGATACTCTGTGCTACATGAAGAGTCAAACTACTTGGTCTTCCCAAGGCTGTTTCATCAAATTTTGGTTGCACTCATACTCCGAGCAGGACATTTTTCTGCTTTAGCAGGTGGTGATGAGTAGAAAATAGAGGTGATGTTTCCTTGAACAGTTCTTGGTGGGAGTAAACCTATTCTAATAGTAAGTGCAAATATTTTTAAATTGAGTGTTATGTGTTCAGTGGCTTTTCAGTGGTGTGTGTCTAACGTATGATGTGGCTTTTCTTTTGATGGTTCTGTCCCAGCTTGGCAAGCTTTGTCCATAAGCGAGTCAGAAACCACATAATGAGCAAAATGCCTTCCACAGTCATTTCTACAAGGAGTATTGTCTCAGAAGCATCAAACCCAATGGGAAAAATATCCTAGAAGTGTTAATTTTTTTCTCTGGAAATAGCATGATTGGGGATTAGCAGACAAACAGCATCAACGCAAAATGAAATCTCACACACGTGGTTGCTGTTTTATGGAAATGACCTTCCTTTTTCCAAAGACAGAAGTCTTCCACTGGGAGCTGGAAGGTACAAAACAGCTTGACAGCACAGCAAGTGAATGTGCATCTCTAATATAAGCATAGCTAATACTTTCTATTATTGCTGTCTAGCACTCTCTGGGCAGCAGTCAGTTCCATTTAAATACGATGAATATGAAAGTAATAATGTTTCACATTTCACTCTTGTACACACTGTCAGGGGAAAGAATGTTGATTTTTTTTTTAATAATCTGATAGTGAACGAAAATGAAAATCCATTTCCTGCAACACTGCTAGCGCTCATCTTAACTCTCTGTCTGAATTTTTCAGGGTTTTGAAGGTATTCCTTTCCCGAACTGCTCAGCGTATTCCATACATGACAGGTGGGCGAGTGATGAGAATGCTGGCTGTTATTCTCCTGATAGTCTTTTGGTTTCTCGTTGGCTGGACTTCTGCAGTAACCCAAAATTTGGAGAGAAACATTCCACTCATTGGCCAAGGGCAAACATCTGACTACCTGATCTTCAATATGTGCCTCATAGACCGCTGGGATTACATGATGGCTGTTGGTATGTTCACTTTCTAGCTTATCTTTCAATTTCTAAAATAAAGCTTGGTTGTCTTTTCATTTTTCTTCTTTTAGAATATCTGAAAGTTTTGTCAGACTGCCTAATATCATGTAAAAAGCTTCCAGGGAAATAAAATACTGGCATATATGTTTTTAAATGGGCTGAGAAGTAAACCATAATTACAGTACATTGAGACTTTTATGACTTTCAAAGGTTTGTAACTTGGATTGTAATAAATTGTGATGGGTGCTCAAGAAATTTCATCTTTGAAAGCAAAAGGTACTTTGCTCTTCTGTGCTATTAAAGTGAGAAATAATGGCTAGATTAATGGATGGTTTTTGCTTCTGCACCTCAGAACTGAGCAGAGCTCTGATGTGTGAGGAGGGAAAGAATTTGCCAGACCACTTGTTCATAACTTCCAAAAATTAGTATCAAATAAAGGGAGTAGAAAATGCACATCTAATGTCCAAACTTAATGTATTTTTTTAAATGGGCTCTCAGTGCTTGGGATAGGCAGGAGCTAAAACATGACACCCTGCAGAACTCATATCAAGGAGAAAAATGACTCAGTTTTGTTTCCTTACTTGTATAACAGTGGCTTCCCTGTGCAAGGGTTCAGTTATACAGTATAATGTGCTTCCTCCCACTGACTGGACAGCTTCAGTGCTTCTGCACCTAAAGCTCTTGTTTCTGCTACAGGCCAGCAGTGCCACTCTTTATCTCAAATACATCACTGTTTTGAAAGCTGAAATAAATTCTTGTCTTTCTGCCCTTACCTTGCTTTCCCCATGGACACCCCACTAACAAGAGAATGGCTGCTGAGGATTAGGGAGAGGTAATGGTGGCTTCTCCACATGGGAGTGCAGATGAGATGGATAGAAGCAGCCTGGGGGTATGAGGAGTGTTTTCTCTGAGAGTGGTGCACAGAAAGCCAGCAGTTTTAAAGGGCAGAACACTGTTTCCAGCTTTGCCAAGTACTTTCCATGGCTCCAAGGTGCCCCTATGGTCTGCTCTTCTTGCCTTTGTGTAAGATCTCAGAGGCAGTCAGGCACACTGGTACCCCATGTGTCAATATGCTCACTGGTAAACCATGCAGAGAGGAGTATAAAGGAGGACATTCTGAAATTTATCTTGATTTGAACTCTTTTGGGGGGGTGTACAGATAAAATATAGCTATACTTTTCAGTAATGGAATAGAGCTGTCACTAGATATGATGTAAAATTAATAACAAAAGAGAATTAAATGTAGGACACGATGATGTCATCTGCACAAACCCAGTTTGCATCAAAATTTTACTGCATTTCACAGACAGTAATACAGTGTAGTTTAATAAAACTTTGATAGTGGTGGTTGTTGCATAATGGTAACCAAATGTTTTTATCCTCTGGATACATGACTATGGTAGTGTAGTGGTTAACAACTGAGATCTTAATTCTGATCAATAGTCCCTTTTTGGTAAGAAATCACGTGAGTTGCTGTCTCCCTAGTATTGAAAAAAAAAAAACCAAACTCCAAGATGATTTTTTAAGGTATATTTACAATTAGAGGGGTTTTAAATTTTTTTCAAAATACACTTAAGGGCAGTAGAGGCAAAGCCAGCTCTCAAGCCTGAGCAAAATCAGGCAGAGTTTTTTATGTTCTGTTGTTGTGCCTTCTTACCCAAACTACTTTATAAACAGAGTTATGTTTGTGTAAATCTTCAGTAAACTATGCAGTCACATTAGTAGCACCAGGAGATGTATACCTACAAGTCTGTACTAATGTGTGTGTGTATATATATATTTAATATACATGTGTGTATGCACTTCAAGATTTTCTTGTTAGTAGTCTGAGAAGCTTACAGCTGGTGGGAACTAGTTCCAAAACCAGATACTTCATCTCAGAAATATGTCAGGATAAATACCCATAGTGCAGAACCCCTTTTATTTCTTTAATTGAGTGGGAGCAGCCTTGCAAAAGATGGATTATGATATTTAATTTAAAATGCTAAAATAAAAATGCTGGGCAATAATTTATGAAAGTCGTGTTATTTAATTTAGTCAGGCACAGTATTTTATATAAAACTAGTGTGTATTTTGGAATATAGCCTGTCACCTGTAGCCCTTGCTGGAATACCTCCCTGTTCCAATCAGCTGTCAACACTACTGAAATGCAGAGGGGGAATTTTCAAGGTCGCAGATTAGTGAAGTGAGAATTAACAAGGCTCTGTTAGAAAGTCATAATGAGATGAATCCTTTATGCTACCAGATTATTGGAGTTAGGATTTATGAAGCATTTTCCATACTAATCATGATACTTAGGCTTTATCTCGGGAGACTTTTATTGGAGTGAATATTTTATATTTACATTTCCATTAAGTTTAAGAGCATCCTCTCTGTGAGAGAAGTAGACTTAGACGCAAGGGTTGTTGCCATTTCTAGCATTGCCTCTGTACTCTCTGATATGCTGATGAGAAAAATTAGCATTCAATGAATCTTATTTTATCTACAAACATAATGTAAGTTAGTATGTATTTTCCTTGAGGTTGGATATGTGTGGGTAGCTTATTTGTTATTTGCCTAGACGCTTTTATTTCCTTTGTGTTTGTTTCTGCATCACTTTCAAGGTTGGGGCATTGGTCTCATTGACAAGCGATGGCATGGTTGACAGTCTGAGATGTTACAGAAAGACCGGAGTTGCTTGAAAATGCTCACCTCACCCACAAAGCCTTTTTCCTACGGCTTGAATATATTCTATACCTCCACCTGTCACAGACAATATTCCAAGTTAGGGGAAAAAAAAACCGCGATGAACTTTTGGTACCTGAGGGCTTGCAGTGTCACCAATCAAACTATTATTCTGTATCCTGAGGGAAAAGATCCTATAAGTGAAACAGATATCAGCACAGAGTTTAAAAGAACTTCCCAGAAACTGGAACACAAAAAAAAAAGCAAAATAGCCAGTTAAATGAACAAAGTCTCAGGCAGGAGAGAAAGACAGGCAGACAGACATGCACAAACACAAATAAAGAGCAGAGGTGATATCTTACCAGGTGGATGTTCCTGACTTCAGCCCAGCCAGCTATCAAATCCTATCCTATGGATATCCTATCCTATCCTATCCTATCCTATCCTATCCTATCCTATCCTATCCTATCCTATCCTATCCTATGGATAGGATTTGAGCTATAGCGTTGCATTCTGTGTGGTTTTCCATGTTTTATTTAAATCAGAAGTGATGACAGGTATTAACCAAGTGCAGGGAGTATTTTTCCCCAGTACCTGTTTGCCTCTTGGCTGCAGGAGCTGTGCTGCTTCCACGCAGCCGGCTGGAGCGGCTGCCATAGCCTGCTAATCACTGGGTCATTCTCTAGGGCTTGGGCACCAAGAGGATTCCAGACACGAGGCTGCACCATGATTACTGCATGCCCTCAGCCAGGAAAAGGAACAAAATGAGTGTTTCAGACTGTTCACAAAAGAGCACCCTCCCACTGTTCGTTTGTTGATATTTAACATGTATAATCTGTGCATCTGAAGAGGACATGAGTTGCCAGGACAGGCTCTGGCAGATTGGGCTTTAGGGCCACCTGTACACTTCTGAGTTAGGGCATTGTAATACAGCCTTACAAGGCCCTTTATTAAATTTTCTACAGGCTCTCTGCTGCATTCAGTGAGTGAATGATTATTATTTCTTTTTGTTATCCCTATTTGTTGTGGCCCTATGCCATCTTCGGGGTGTGGTGTTCAGAGCATGCAATGAATAAAGAACTGTTCCTTTCCAAAATGGGCATTTTTAGGCCATGTTCTCCTTAGCATCGATGTACAAAGATTAAAACCAAAATTGTCAACAGTAGCTATCCATTTTGAGTGTCTGGCTAGAGACATGGAGAGTACTGTTTATAGCCTCCTCTGTGTGGACAGCCCAACCAGGAGGCACTTGTTAGAATTAAATACTGATGAGGATCTGGCTTTAGTTCTCACATTGAATACTCTGAAAATGTGTCATGTAAAAATAAGTGATCAGTTGTGAAAAGCTTGCTGTAAATGATAATACCAGGGCCCTATAAAATGTTTGAAGCAGAAATAGGCAAAGAATCCTGTTTTACAAAGTAGCCTTCAGCTCCGTCCCTTTCCTACTTGTAACTCACGTCTCCTGCTACCATGTACACCTCTTTCACAGTCCACATAACCAACACTGTGTGTGGTTTATGTCCCTCATCTCTAGGATATGGTGAATCTCGAAAAGATATGGGGAAAAAGATGCTGGAACCCCCAGTTTGGGCAGTTTGGGTTGTATTACTGCCTGTGGTGATGTTGCTTTTTCTTGGTATCTATTATATTCAGGTGAAATCCCATAGCCTTTATTTGGGCACCATTTCTACGAAGTACTTCTGCTAAGGAAATCATATTTGGGTTGCCTTGGCTGCATGTTTATGTATTTATAAATGTCGTCCTCAAATGCTTCTGCGAGCCACCCATGGGAAGAGATTGCTTTAGGAGAGGCTAGAAGATGCTCTGACTTCCTCTTGCCTTTCGCACCACCCTTTCTGGAATTCACTTCTTAGAATCATAGAATCACCTATATTGGAAAAGACCTTTAAGATCATCAAGTCCAACCATTACGCCAGGTCTGCCAAGACCATCAGTAAACCGTATTACTGAGGGCCTCATCTGCATGGTTTTTGCACACTTCCAGGGATGGTGACTCCAGCTCTGCCCTGGGCAGCCCATTCAAATGCCTGATCACCCTCTGTGAAGAATTTTTTCCTAATATCCTGTCTAAACCTCCCCTAGTGCAGCTTGAGGCCCTTCCTTCCTGTCCTGACACTTGTTACTTGGGAGAAAAGAACTGATAGCCGCCTCACTACAACCTCATTTCTAGGTAGTTGTAGAGAGTGATAAGGTCACCCCTGAGCCTTCAGGATGAACAAACCCCAATTCCCTCAGTTGTTCCTCATCAGACTTGTGCTCCAGACCCTTCACCAGCTTTGCTGCCCTTCTCTGGACCCGCTCCGGCACCT